CGAGGTGGGGTGGTAGAACTGCCAGCCTGGCGCGTCAGGGGGAAAGCCAAGGAAGACGCAGGGAACAGCGCGAGAGGACAGCTTGTCCGCAGACAAGTCCCGAACAAACGCCCTAGATCCCCAGACCCGGAAACGCGACGCATCACCAACCTTCCCCGTCCACAGCAAAGCAGGGGAGGTCTCCGGCATGGAGACCCGGGGGTGAAGGTTGAGCTGATGCGCCGCGTACCGAACCGCAAACGGCCACAGAAAATGGGGAGCAGCCGCATGGATCATGGACGTACGAGCGACGTCCATGATCATGCCGATGCGGCGCTCAGCAATCCCATTCTGCTGCGGAGAGTCCGGAAGCGTGAAGGTCTGGCGGATGCCTCGTGTGCGACAGAAGGTCCGCAGAAGGTCAGAGGAGAACTCTCCGCCTCTGTCGGAGTGCAGACGCCGAACAGGAAAGTCGGAGCCGAAACTCTCCTGGAGCTGGAGACGAGCTGCGCGGATCCAGGCGATCAACACCTCAGTGACGTCACCCTTGCTGCGCAAGGGGAAGACTGCGGTGTAACGCGAGTAGTCGTCAACCACCAGCAGGAAGTAGCGCTCCTGACCCTGCCCACGGACGCGGGCTGGGCCCCACACGTCCATGTGAAGCGTCTGCAGCGGAGCCTCTGTCGGAGGAAACTCGGAGGAGTGAGGAGCAGCGCGCTGCCGCCCCTCGACGCAGGGAACGCAGGTGGGGGCAGGCCCCGGAGGAAGGGGAGGGAGGGACCGGGGGAGGCCAGAAACAAGAAGACGGGAAGCCATGCCTCGAAGACGAGGCAGGGAGGGGTGACCAAGACGGTGGTGCCAGAGGAGAGTCCGGTGGGACAGGAGACGACACGAGCAGGGGGCAGACTCAGGACCAGACCTGGACGCCGCAGCAAACACCTGACCCGACGCTGCTACCTGAGCAGACTCAGTGACTGGAGGAGACTCAGTAGTCAGTGTGTACAGGCTCGACCCTGGCCGACGAGCAAACGTGGCCAAGTGTCGGCCCGTGTCCGCACAAGTGCAGTGGGTCACCCGCTGACGCGCAGGGGTGAACTGGTCAACTCCTGCATCCTGGAGGTCAGCACCCGCCACCAAGTTCGTAGAGAACGAGGGGAGGTAGAGACCCGACAGGGAGCCAGACGGGACCGCCGGACACGGTAGGACAGTGGAGTAGTGAGCAAGGACAGGACCCCTAGAGGGGTCCGCCAGGGAGACCGCAACAGGCCGACTGAGCGGTGTGAGAGTGGTGCAGTCTCGAAAGAAGGAGCGGGAAGCACCCGAGTCAAGGGTGAAGGTGTGGGTGTCCGGGGACGACGCAGCACCTGAGAGCGCAAACTCACCGGCACCTGGGGCGGCAGACGCACTGGCACCTAGAGCAGCAGCCTCACAAGTACCTAGCGCAGCAGCCTCTATGCCTGGGTCAGGCGGGAAACACCGGTAACAGTCACCCTCATCACTAATAGTCACAGCATACATGGCAGCAAGAATAGCATCAAAATCAAGATCATAGATTGCAACACCCGCCCTAGACAGCTCGCCCCAGCGAGGGATCTCAGTAGCGTCGGGGAACTGGTGGCGCCACGCGTCCGTCAGACGACCGAAGCAGCGCTGGGTGGGGTGCGCGCCCCCACACTGCTCACCCGCCCGGTCGCCGGTACGGAGAACGTAGGTACAGGGGCCAGCACCCCCGCCCCGCTGACGAGCAGCGTACCACTCACGAAGCTGCTGGGGGGAAGGGGTCTCACGGGTACGCTGCTGCTGCTGCTGCTGGCGCGCACCACCACCGGAGCCACCCCTCTGCACAGTGCCACCCCGACCAGCTCCACCGCCTCCGCCGCTACCTCCTCCAGTACCGCCACCTCCGCCACCTCCGCTCCCACCGCCACCGCCGCCTCCACCTCCACCTCCAGTCCCGCCACCGACGCCCCCACCCCCGCCACCACCCCCACCGCCACCCCCACCCCCTCCACCACCTCCACCTCCGCCTCCACCGCCCCCTCCAGCTCCTCCAGCACCCTTGCCCCCCTTGCCCTTGCCAGGGCGGCGTCTCCCGCTAGGGGCAGACGCCGCAGCGACCGACTCAAGACCAACGAGGTCGGCCGCAGCAGCAGAGGCAACAGAGGGCAAGAGGGGAGAGGGGGAGCACCCCTCAAAGACAGGGGTACGAGGGTCACCACGAGAGGCACCTACTGCGACTATGCTCTTCTCTGCCGCTAGAAGGCGCTCCTCGAGGAGGTCAACGGTGAGGGTGGTGGGGCAAACAGAGAGGAAGTGGTCCCTGACCGGGCGAAGGGTGTCAGGGAGCCGGGTGACTATGTAGTAGAGGGTGATGTACATGGGGGGGGGGTTCTTGGCGCAGAACTCAGCAGGAAGCGCAGCGCGGTAGCGAGTGTCACTAGTGCGAAGGTGCGTAATGAGGTCAGCGACAGTGGGAAAAGCGGCGAGGTCAGGGAAGAGGTACGGTAGGATGAGGCGGCTAAGCGCAGCAGTGGCAGGGGAAGAGTAGCGTGCAACTACAGCGTCGTACAAGGTCTTAGCACTCTTGTACTGGCTAAAGTGCGCACGCTCAGCGGTCGGCAAGTGGCGGCGCACAGCAAGGCGGGCAGCAGCATCGCGCGTGGCCCACTGGGAGCGAACAGTGGGGTCAGCATCAGCAGCAGGGGCAGGAGAGGCACCAGAAGTGAGGTCAAAGAGGGAGAGGCCGTCTGCTCTGTCGCTCAGTAGGAAAAGCTGCAGGTCATCTACCCAGACGTCAAAGTCAATGGCCCGGCCCTCAGCGTCAAAGGTGAGGACACTGGGGGAAGCCATGACAGCAGTAGACTAGCAGTGAGAGCAGCAGGCAGGGGCAGAGCAGTGGTGGAGGCGCTGCTCTTACCGGGCAGGCGAGAAGGACCGAGGCGCGTCGGCAGGAACAGGGCCGCGACAGCAGGAACGGCGGCTCGGCGGCTCAGCGGCTCGGCAGCTCAGCGGCGGCGGCGTCTCGGCGGCTCGGCAGCACGGCGGCAGTGGCGGCTCGGCAGCCCGGCAGCCCAGCGGCAACGGCGGCTCGGCGGCTCGGCTGCGGCAGCGTCTCGGCGGCTCGGCTGCTCGGCGGGGCCGCGAAGGTGTGGCGACGGGGCCGCAAAGGGCGGCGGTGGGGTCGCACAGGTGCGGCGACTGGGTCGCGGGCGGCTGCGACGACAGGGGCCGCGAGTGGCTGCGACGACGAGAGCGCAGGCGGCTGCGGCGACGAGGTCGCGGGCGGCTTCGACAGCAGGGTCGCGGGCGGCAGCGACGTTAGGGTCGCGGGCGGCTTTGGCGGCAGGGTCGCAGGCGGCTGCGACGCCAGGGTCACGGGCGGTCGCAGCGGTAGGGTCGCGGGCGGCCGCGGCGACGAGGTCGCGGGCGGCGCGAAGGGCGACGGGGCCGCGACGGGCGGCGTTGGGGTCGCGGGCGGCTGGAACGACGCCGCGCAGGGCGACGCGAGGGTGGGGCCGCGGGGTCGCGAGGGTAGGGCCGCGGGGCCAGCAGAGGCGGCGCCGGGGCCTAAAGGGCGGCGCGACGGGGCCGCTAAGAGAGGCGAGGGGGAGGGGGGGGGGGCGCGACTCGGGCAGGGGCCGAGCGCGCTCCGGGCAGGAAAAAAAAAAATTACGGTGGGCCCTAGGAACAGTTCCCACGAGGGAACCTGCTCTATACCATGTGAAAGTTAGAACGAGAATGATGTGACTAACATCAATGGGAGTACAAATATGAAACCCTAGAGTTCTGTACCCCCTAAGGCTAAACCCACTGTAGCCTACAAAGCTACAACATGCATAATGTTCGACATCGCTTACGCGTTATACCTAATTGCGATCGCCTGAAACGCGCAAAGGGCGGAAAATTGGTTTGGTCGTTACAAATTTACACGCCCTTAGGGCGACGTCAGATTGTACATTTCTCAGCACCTTTGCATTTCTTATATCTTGGCTTTGGACGGTTCCACACGGTCAGAAGCGGTTCTGAAGCTTTACCATTTTGCACCGTGACAAAACGGAGTTGAGCATGCAGAAGCTGTACAACCGTACGGTTGGCGATCATCGCGTCAGTTCTGTTTTTGGGCACTCGGGTTCCGTTGTCGCAGGACGATTGCCTAGGCTATCAGAATGAACAGCAGGAATGAATGAACTATGACAGGGTCTCGTACAAGTACTAACCCTAAACTGGGTTGTACCCCATATAGGCTACCCCACTACAGCCTACACAATACAATGTTTTGACACACCCCCATAGGCAAGGTGGGGGAGCACAAGTAGTCACAGACAAGCAAAGCAAGCTCAGGGTGGATCACGAAGTCACCACACATTCTGAGCACAAGCAAAGGGCTACAAGGCCAGTCCACATGCAGAGTTATATAAAACAAAGCAAGCAGTACAGTGATCTCAACCAAGCAAATGTAAACATGCAAGGATATTTATTTATCACAGTACAAGCAAGGTCAAGCAGTGAGCAAGTGAGAGAACGTAGGCACGAGGCCTAGAGCAGTACAGAGACGCTGATGATCACCAGGCGGAAGTGCCTTGGTGAATATATCAGTTGTGTTGGCCCGCGTGTCCACGTAAGCAAGACGAAGCTGGCCACGCTGCTGTAGCTCTCGAGCAAGAAAGTAACGCACAACGATGTGCTTCGTTCTGTGCTCCAGTCTGTGCTCCTAACACAAGGCGAGGGCCGCCTTGTTGTCGCCGTACAGAACTGGAGGAGAACGAGGCCGCTCTCCCAAGTCAGTCAGCAGGTAGGTGAGCCAGCATAGCTCCTGTGCAGCCATGGCTGTGGCGTAGATCTCAGCCTCACAACTGGAGCTGAGAACAGAAGAAGAGCGGGTAGATCGCCAAAACACAGAGCCGGAACCAAGGCTGAAAGTGTAACCCTGTGATGACCGCTGTGTAGCCAGGTCGTCAACCCAAGAGGCGTCTGAGTGTCCAGTGAGGACAACGTCACCCCGTCCTCCAAGCACCAGCCCCATGCCTCCTTGTCTCTGGTCTTCCCAAGTCTCTGCCTGCCCTCCCTCCCTCGCCTGCCCCGCCCAACGTTCCTTGTGTCGAGGGGCGGCAGCGCGCCGCTCCTCACTCCTCCTCGTTTCCCCCGACGACTGCTCCCCTGCAGACTCTCCACTTGGACGTGTGGGGCCCAGCCCGCGTCCAGGGACAGGGCCGCGAGCGGTACTTTCTGCTGGTTGTTGACGACTACTCGCGTTACACCACAGTCTTCCCCTTGCGCAGCAAGGGGGAGGTCCCTGATGTCTTGATCCCTTGGATCCGCGCTGTTCGTCTCCAGCTCCACGAGCGGTTCCGCACGGACCTTCCTGTCCTGCGTCTGCACTCTGACAGAGGCGGTGAGTTCTCCTCCGACCTCTTGCGGGACTTTTGTCGTGGGGAGGGCATCCTCCAGTCGTTCACGCTTCCGGCCTCTCCGCAGCAGAATGGGGTTGCTGAGCGCCGCATTGGCTTAGTCATGGAGATCGCTCGTACCTCCATGATCCATGCGGCTGCCCCCCATTTTCTGTGGCCGTTTGCGGTCCGGTACGCCGCGCATCAGCTCAACCTCTGGCCCCGTGTCTCCTTGCCGGAGACCTCGCCCACACTGCTGTGGACGGGGGAGGTTGGCGATGCGTCGCGCTTCCGGGTCTGGGGTGCTCGTGCCTTTGTCCGCGATACCACTGCGGACAAGCTCTCCTCTCGCGCTGTTCCCTGCGTCTTCCTTGGCTTTCCCCCTGACGCGCCTGGCTGGCAGTTTTACCACCCCACCTCGCGCCGTGTCTTCGCGTCCCAGGACGTCACCTTTGACGAGTCGGTTCCCTTCTACCGTCTCTTCCCCTACCGCACTGCCCCTCTTCCCCCCCCGCCGCTCTTCCTCGCTCCAGGTCCCCCTCCGGTAGACCCCCTCCCCCCTCAGGGTCCTGCTCCTTCAGGTGTGTCTCAGGTAGACCCACTTCCCTTGGCTGAGCCTGTCGAGGTCACTGGTGACTCAGGTGCTGCTGGGGGTGGTCCTGCTCGGGGTGCTGCGCCTGGGGGTACTGAGCCTGAGCGTGCGGAGCCTAGGGGTGCTGAGCTTGAGCGCGCGGAGCCTGGGAGTGCCAAGCCTGAGCGTGCAGAGCCTGGGGGTGCTGAGCCTGAGCGTGCGGAGCCTGAGAGTGGTGAGCCTGGGGGTGCTGAGCCTTTGCGTGCGGAGCCTGAGGTTGCTGAGCCTGGGGGTGCTGCGTCTGAGGGTGCTGAGCCTGGGGGTGCTGCGTCTAGGGGTGCTGAGCCTGAGGGTGCTGAGCCTGGGGGTGCTGCGTATGCTGGTGGTCCTCCGAGTGCCTCGCCGCAGCGGTCTGGCCAGCGAGAGCCTCTCTAGCCACAGCAGCTGCGCGAGTGGTTTGCTCGATGCACCCACCTTCGGAGTCGCGTTGGTGGAGCTCGAGGCACAGGAGCTGGAGGCACTAACGCTGGGGGCGCTGGAGCTGGAGGTGCTGGAGCTGGAGGTGCTGGCGCTGGAGGTGCTGGAGCTGGAGGCGCTGGAGCTGGAGGCGCTGGAGCAGGGGGCGCTGGAGCTGGAGGCGTTGCTGCTGGAGGTGCTGGAGCTGGAGGTGCTGGAGCTGGAGGCCCTGTGCAGCAGCGACCGTTTTTCTTGCCGCCGCCGCAGCTGTCCGAGCTTCCGCCCGAGTCGGTGCTCCGTCAGGTTCTTAGTCTTCCTTCGTCCACTGCCCTTCCTCCGGACTCACCGCTGCCTGCCCCGTCTCGTTACACTGAGCAGCCGGTCTCCCTTACAGAGCGTCGTGAGCCTGCGTCTCGTCTTGCGTCATGCCTCCCCTGTTCGCACTGTTCGCCGTGCTCGTCGTGTCCCGCGTCCGCGTCCTCCTCCTATGCCAGGTACTCACACTATGACAACAAATGCCTTCGAGCTCCTTTTGCTTGTCCTCAAATTCGTCCACGTCGGCGAGCTGGTTCTTATCCAGCCAATCAATCGTCTCGTCGACAGCCTTTTCGGTTGCCTTCTTATCCTCATGCGACAGCTTCCCCGCTATCTTATCGCGAACTGTGTTTCGCATGCTGTACAAATAGTTCTCCAGCGCGCATTTCGCCTCAACCCGCTTCTTGTGCTGCTCGTCGTCATCCTTGTACTTCTTGGCTTCCTCCACCATCCGCTCTATTTCCTTCTTGCTCAGCTGGCCCTTGTCATTCGTGATAATAGTCTTATTCTTCTGCTTGGTAGTCTTGTCCTCCGCACTCACGTTCAGAATGACATTCGCGTTGATGTCAAATGTAACGTTGATCTGCGGCACGCCACGTGGCGCTGGCAGAATTCCCGAGAGCTCAAAATTTCCGAGCAGATTGTTATCCTTGGTGAGAGCGCGTTCGCCTTCGTACACTTGAATCCGAAAACATTGAGAACACTTGCTCCTTCTTCGTCGGGATTGTAGTGTTCCTCGGAATCAGCACCGTCATCACCCCTCTAGCCGTCTCCAATCCAAGCCACAGCGGCTTCACGTCGAGCAGCAGCAGATCCTGCACCTTCTCATTCCCTTCGCCGCTCACAATCGCTGCCTGAACCGCCGCGCCATACGCGACGACCTCGTCGGAGTTGATGCTCTTGCAGAGCTCCTTTCCGTTGAAGTACTCCTGCAGCAACTGCTGCACCTTGGGAATGTGAGTAGACCCGCCGACTAGCACCACGTCGTGGATCTGCACCTAGGACATTTTCGCGTCCTTTAGGCACTTTTCCACCGGATCCATGCACTTTCGGAACATGTCCATGTTTGGTTCCTCGTGTCAGAATACTGAACGGGAATGATTGCATTGAGATCAAACTGAGTACAATTACTAACCCTTATTGGGTTGTACACCTCATGAGCTACCCCACTATAGCCTACACAATATAAGCATTATATTATTTTGACACACCCCCATAGAGTAAGTGGGGGAGAACAAGTGGTCACAAGACCAGTCAAGAAAAGCAAAGCAAGCTCAGGGTGGATCACGAAGTCACCACACAGTCCGAGCACAAGCAAATGGCCACAAGGCCAGTTTACATGCAGAGTAAATAAAAGAGAACAAACAGTACAGTGATCACAACCTAGCAAGTGTAAGCATGCAGATATATCTATATATTCATATATAAATATCACAGTACAAGCAAAGTTACGCAGTGAGCAAGTGAGACAAAGCAGGCACAAGGCCTAAAGCAGTACAGAAACGCTGATGATCACTAGGCACAAGTGCCTTGGTGAATATATCAGCAGTGTTGGCTCGCCTGGCCACATAAGCAAGACAAAGCTGACCACGTTGCTGCATCTCTCGAGCAAGGAAGTAACGCAGAGCGATGTGCTTCGTTCTGTGCTCCAGTCTGTGCTCCTGACACAAGGCAATCATGGCCTTGTTGTTTATGTACAGAACTGGAGGAGAACGGGGTTGCTTTCCCAAGTCGGTTAGCAGGTAGGTGAGCCAGCGTAACTCATGTGCAGCCATGGCTCCTGCGTAGATCTCAGCCTCACAACAGGAGCTGAGAACAGAAGACGAGCGGGTAGACCGCCAAGAAATAGAGCCGGAGCCAATGCTGAAAGTGTAGCCCTGTGACGACCGCTGTGTAGCGAGGTCGTCAACCCAAGAAGAGTTTGAGTCTCAAGTGAGGACAACTAGACCCCGTCTTCCCAGCACGAGCCTCATGCCCGATATACTGCACAAGTAGCGCAACACCCTCTTAGCGACCTCCCAGTGCTCTGGTCGGTGTCTCTTGGGCGCAACGTCGCATGCCAGGAGGCTAAGAGGGTAAGCAAGGTCAAGTCGAGTGCAAGTCATCAGGTACATGAGGCAGCCCACAAGCTCTGGATACGGGCCACTCGGCTCTACGGACTCGTCCGAAGGTGGAGCTGAGAGCGAGTGACCGGTAGGCAGAGGAGTGGACTGTGGCGAGGAGAACCGGAAGCCGAAGCGCTGAAGGACCTGTTGCACCATGTGTGACTGACTCAGGGTGATGGTGCGCCATGCTCTGTCTCGGGTGGTCTGGAAGCCAAGATTAGCTGCGCAGCTCACCCAGGTCAGTGCAAGTGTGTCTCTTCTGCAGCTCCGACTTCACAAGGGCCAGTGCCTCAGTGTCAGCAGTGGCAAAAACCAAGTCGTCGACGTACACTAGGATGTAGAGTGGCAGCACCGAAGTGCCGGTGCGTAGAAACAGTGACGGGTCAGCAGTCGAAGGAGCAAACCCAAGAGCCGCAAGTGTCGTCCTCAGTGTGTCGTGCCACTCACGAGGCGCCTGACGGAGACCGTAGACTGGCCGTCGGAGGCTCCACTGGGTACCCTCAGGAAACGACCCAGTGAAGCCACGAGGACAGCGCAGCCAGACCTCCTCGTGCAGGCTGCCCTGTAGGAAAGCTGTGCTGAAGTCAAGAGAGTGAAGCTCGTAGTCACGCTGAGCGGCAACGTGCAGCAACACCCAAAGAGTGGTCATCTTCGGGGTAGGGGAGAAGGTATGGAAGAAGTCAACTCCCTGTCGCTGACTAAAGCCTCGTGCAACGTAACGAGCCTTGAAGACAGGCGGAGAACCTGGCGGCTGCTTCACCCTGAAAATCCACATGCCATCGACTATGTTTGCCCCAGGAGGGGGAACTGTGTCGACGTAAGTGCCTGTGGACTTCTAGGATGCCATCTCTGCGTCCATGGTTGTCTGCCACTGAGAGGAGTAGGGACCCGTAATTAGCTCTGCGTAAGAGCGCGAGGTCGGGATGTCTGTCCAGAGCATCTGGGTCTCCCTCAGGTGCAAGCAGCATGGCCACGAGATGAGGTATAACAGCTGCAAGTCACTCAAAGTCTTCCTGCCTGTCCTCAAGGACGTCCGTGCCAAGAGCACACTCACCCCCGACGGACGGAGGATAGACAGACTCAGACTCAGCAACAAGACTAGTAGCGTAGTCTAGACGACATGCATCAACAAAGTCAACAAGCTCAGCAACTAAGGCAGACGCAGCAGTGGACTCAAAACAAGGGTGAATGACAAAAGTGGCCAGGAGACGTGTGAAAGTCGGGCTAGCAGCACGAACCAAGTCAGACTCAGGGTCCGGAACGTCAGGAAGAGAGGACGCCGGAGGAGACGACATCGGAACTCGCAGTGGAACAGAGGAAGGACGAAGTGCCATAGTGTGAGTACCTGGCACAGGGGGAGGATGAGGACGAGGGACACGACGACCAGTGCGAGCAGGCGTGACAGGACGAGACGCAGACTCGCGACGCTCTGTAAGGGAGGCTGGTTGCTCAGTGTAAAAAGGGGGGGCAGGCAACGGTGAGTCTAGCTGAAACGGCGTCTGTGACAGGTCAAGCGGAGGACACTGTGAGGGAGGAGGAAGGGCAGTGGACGAAGGAAGACTAAGAACCTGACGGAGCACCGAGGCAGGCGGTAGCAGTGACGGCTGCGGCGGCGGCAAGAAAAACGGTCGCTGCTGCACAGTGCCTCCAGCACCAGTACCGCCAGCTCCAGTGCCTCCAGCGCTAGCACCTGCAGCTACAGGGCCTCTAGTGCCAGCGCCTTCAGCCCCACGGTCTCCAGCTCTAGCGCCACCAGCTCCAGCACCTCCAGCTCTAACGCCCCAAGCGCCAGGGCCTCCGGCTCCAGCGCCTCCAGCTCCAGCGCCTCCAGCACCAGTGCCTCCAGCTCCAGCAGCGCCACTCCGAAGGCGGGTGCGCCGAGCAAACCACTCGCGCAGCTGCTGTGGTGAGAGAGGCTCCCGCCGGCTAGACCGCCGCGGTGAGGCACCTGTAGGACCTCCAGCAGACGTAACACCCCTAGGCTCAGCACCCCCAGGCTCCGCACTCAGTACCCTCAGGCTTTGCACCCCTAGGCTCAGCACCCCTAGGCTCCACACCCCCAGGCTCCACACCCAAAGACTCAGCACCCTCAGGCTCAACACCCCCAGGCTCCGCACCCTCAGGCTCAGCACCCCCAGACTCAGCACCCCTAGCAGCACCACCCCCAGCAGCACCAGAGTCGACAGCAATCGGCAGCAGAGGCGGTGAAGACGGTTGAGGTGGAAAACCCGGAGGGGTTTCCAAGCGTGGTGAGCGGCGGGGGGCCGCCGCGTCGTCAGCAGCAACGTCACCCCCCTCAGCTGGGCTTGAGATGTCGAAAGTGACCTCGAAAGGCTCAGCCAAGGGGAGTGGGTCTACCTGAGACACACCTGAAGGAGCAAGACCCTGAGGGGGGAGGGGGTCTACCGGAGGGGGACCTGGAGCGAGGAAGAGCGGCGGGGGGGGGAGAGGGTCAATGTGGTAGGGGAAGAGACGGTAAAAGGGAACCGACTCGTCAAACGTGACGTCTTGAGAGGACAGAACACGACGCTTGGTGGAATGGTGAAACTGCCAGCCAGGCGCTGTTAACGGGAGTGGAGTATTGGCGCCGCCCTCGTCTGGGCAACGCCGAAGACTTGGTCGGATGTACGGGAGTAGCAGCCGACCGTTCACAGTGGGAGAGCTGCTCGACAGGCTTCTTAGAGCTACAGGAAACCGTTGTGGTGTTGCTCTCGACCAGGGAGCTTGACAGCTGTAACTGACTAGTCTGGGCGACGGGTGGGCCGTCGACCAGGACCCGCAATTCGACCGCGAGGTCGACGGAGCAGTCCGTCAACCTGACAAGTAAGCAGCGGTCGACGAGGGGAGCTTGGCGACAACGGCTGCCACTTCTGGCCGACGGGAGGGGTTCGTCGACCAGGGAGGAGCTCGACTGGAGCTGTGGTCGACCAGAGGGACCTGGTGGTCGACCAGAGGGACCCGGTGGTCGACTAGAGGCACTTAGTGGTCGACCAGAGCACCTGGTGGTGTCCAGGTCGACTTGGTAACCTGCTCGACGAGTTCTGCGGAGGCACGCGAACGTCGTCGAGGTCGCGATGGCGAAGGCGACTTTGGACTGGTATCCCGAAGTCGATGTGGCTCGTCAGGCGCAGACAATAGCCGACGGATGCCCAACGTGGCAAGTCGGACCAATCGTCTGCGCGCACCTGTGAGCGTGCGCACTGCTGTCTTCTACGGGGCAACGCTGGATAGTCGCTCTGCTGCAGCGTTGGCACGCCGTCGACCTGCAGCGTTGGCAGGTCGCTCTTCTGCAGTGCTGGCGCGGCTCCTCTACGCAACGCTGGCAGGCAGTCGACCATGCAGTGCTGGTGGTCGACCAGGCTAGTTGCAGAATTGCTAGGTGCCAGATGTAGTCATTTCTTGTCATTGCTTGTTAAATCATTCTGTAATTCCAACTTTGCTAGTGGAAACTCTTGCCGATTTCTCCCGTGTGTAAATGTGCAAGCACTAAGGAACTAAGCAAAGCTACGATCACTATTAGTAGTTCGTGCCAACCCTCATAGTCTAGCTCACTGCCGTTGTAGAGTGATTCTCCGCAGGCGCGTCAGTGGGAAAGCCAAGGAAGACGCAGGGAATGGTGCGAGTGGAGAGCTTGTCCGCGGTGGTATCGCGGACAAAGGCACGAGAGCCCCAGACCCGGAACACCGACGCATCGCCAACCTCCCCCGTCCAATGCAGTGTAGGCGAGGTTTCCAGCAAGGAGACATGGGGGCCAGAGGTTGAGCTGATGCGCAGCGTACCGGACCGCAAACGGCCACAGAAAATGGGGAGCAGCCGCATGGATCATGGAGGTACGAGCCACCTCCATGACTAAGCCAATGCGGCGCTCAGCA